TTTTGATAACTATGCAGCTTTGTGTATGCAAGATTAGCTCATATTTGGACAACTGATTAGCTATCACTCTTAATTTTATAAGTTTTGAGGGACTTGGGGGATACAATAAAGAGAAAATGTTTATTTCAAGACTAATAGATGCACTTATTCTTCAAATGACTCTACTTGAAGAAGGAGATGGCTTCGTCTTTGAATGTAAATAAAGATGATATGAAGAAAAAGAAAAAGATGAATTGTTGTTAATTCCCTGTTCTTCTGTAGACTTTTAGGAATCAGACAGTATGATGCAATGGCTACCAGAGCCATTGGACAGTATCTAAAATAGCAGTATCTTAGATAGAACAATATCTAAGGAAGCATTTTGGCCCAGTAATTCTATTTGAGATCCAATCCTTAGATTGGAGTTAAAATACTGAAATTTCATGAAAAGTTTAATAGATAGGTATAACCATTATTATATCTAAGATTAAGTGTAAATTTAATTTTAAGCAGATTTTTGTTTGTCCCTAAAAATCCTTTCCTTCCTTCCTCCCACCCTCCCTCCCTCCCTCCCTTCGTTCCTTCCATCCATCCTTTGATCCATCTTACATGATATTCTGTTTGTTTGTTTGTTTGCTTTAAAAGGGCTTAGGATATATCCTCTAATTTTCCAAAGTAAAATGCTTCTGATGGAGATCAGGCTGTTTCCCAGAGGGAAGGATTTAAGTTACAAGTGAAGTTTTCCAGGCAGCTTTGGTTGCATTGAAATCTAATCTGCTTTTTGGCTCTAAAGGCTGTCTCCCTTCCTCACTGTCAGGCCCAGCTATATATGAGCTTTTTCTCTTTTTAAAGTCTGAAGGGAAATGGGCTATTTGCAAAGAATGACCACTTACTATGATCTACATTTTCTGTTTGCACAGAAGTAACCTGATACAGCTTTTCCTGCTGGTGTTTGCCTGTTTTGGGTTTTGTTGATGCAAGATTTTAATGATTGTGTCTCCTTATCTGTGCAATTACATGGTCTGAAAGACTAGGCTGTCAGCAACATCCTTGGTCCCAAGTATTCTCTGGCTCCAGGATTTATACCTGCTAATGTTTGTGGGGGATAGGGGAGGGTAGAATCCGACTAGAGGATAGATAAAGCATGCTGCTTTTCTAGAGCCATGTAATAAAAATATTGGTAATTTGCAATAAAAAGGAAGCTATTTTCTTCTTTGAGATGCATTAGCCAATTATTTGAAAAAAATAAGCAATCAAATTTCTTCATTTCTATTTGAAGGATTTTTTTAAAATGTATCATAGTATAGATTTAGGTGTTTAAAAAAGTCTTAAAAATTGTTGAATTACTATTATCCTGAAATCATTGCATTTAAATAGCAGTGGTTAGATATGTATTCACTGGAGATAATGCTTGGAAGAAAGGTTCAATAAATCCCTAATAGCTGGATTTCAGGTTTGTCATGATATCTAAGAGACAAAAATCAAGATACATTTTGTTATGGCCATCTCTCATTCCAAATATTCATTCCACACAGATGTATCTCTTTGCATTATCCTCTAAACAGTAGCTGATACTGTAATATCTATGTTGTACTTGACATTACTTCCTGTTATTTTATATATTCCAACAATTCAGATGGACCAAACTTCACCATAAATCTAACCATATTGTCACTTTAAAACAATAATAACAGCACAATCTGGAAAACTGGATTTTTTCCCCTCCAGGAAAATAGTCTTTAGTTTCCAGTGTTTTAAATATTTGCTTTCTTTCCTTGTTTCTTCAAACAGGTTACAGTAATGAAATGACATGCAAGAATTTAAAAAAAAATCATTTAGGCTCTTCAATGTCCAACCCTTTGATTCATTTTTCATCTTTGGAAGATCTATGTAGAAGAGCACTTTGTTTTGAATCTCAAAAGCTAAAAATCATAAACAAAGAAATCTCAGCATTTTTTTAAGCTTGTGATTCCTTCAGTAATAATCAAATGTTAGCTTTATTTCCTTTGCAATTATTAATTTATCTCAGCCGGGAACAATTGTTATTCTAATGAGCGTTTTGGTTCACCTTTTATTGTCTATCAAGTTTGCGAAGTCTGCTATTATTACTCAGGATTTTGTTAGATAAAATATCCTAAACATCTGTTATTCTGCCTTTGTCTGTCCATTTATATGTGTGCTGTGTGTATAAATACAAGGCAGTCCATCCTTCTTTGCTAAATAGCTTGACTGTTTTTTTCTAATCGGTACTAGTTTTTGCAAAGAAGAAATAAAAATAAAAAGACAAACCATCCTTTCAGTGATACATGTAACTTGTTTCTTTGCGGATGCTGTAGATTTTTTACCAGAGAATGCTCTTTTTGCTGTGAGTGTAAGACTTCAAGATGTAACGTAATTATTCCTTTGTGTCAGCTTCAGGAAACTCCTGCAGCAGCTGATGTGCCACCTCTAGATTAACTAGCAATAGATCTTTTTTCTCTTTTCTTTTTTATTATACCTCTAGGTATCTGCCGAGAACTTCGTCAGTCACACTTTTGAAAGTAGCAAGAGAATAGTTGTCCATTTGGGGGGGGGGGAGGGGAGAAATGATATTTTCCTTTTTTTTAGAACCTTTGTTTTTGTACCCATCATTATTTTTTCATATTTCATTAGTATATTAAAGTGGGAAAAACTGAATTTAAGTTTGAAGTTAGCCTGGTACCACTTCTGAAATTGAATAGGCCACATGAATAATTTCTGAATGATTGTTAGCATCCTGTCTTCTAAGTCAATCCCGAATATTGACCTACTCAAGAGTTTTGCTTCTTAGAGAGCTGAATAAGATGGCTTATAGCATGCAGATAATCCTTGATTTAGAAACACATTTGGGAGTGGAATGTCTGTCATAAAAAGGTGTGGTCACAAAGCGAGTCATGTGTCCAGACCTGATTTTAGGACCATTTTTACCATGGACCTAAGTGAATAACCCACAGTCGTTAAGCAAATGACATGGTGATTAAGAAAATCCAGCTTTCCCAATTGTGTTCCTTTCTCAGAAGACTGACAGGAAAATCACAAATCACAATCATGTAACAGCAAGCAGTTGCAGCTGTTGTAAATGTGAAATGGTTTCCAAGTGCCCAAATTGAAATCACGTGACAATGGGAGTTGTGTGATGGTTGGTCAAAAAGTCACATTTATAACTTTACAATAAGTTACATTTACATCATAACTTTGGTCATAAATTGAGTATACTAATTATAGTATAGTGTAGTATTGATGACTACCTGTTACTATACTAATTATAAAAATCAAGGGAAAAGTATACAGGGAGTTAAAACAGTAAGGATTTGGGAAACTAGGCTCCAGATTTTCCCTGTTTTCACTTTCATTCCAGATATCTTCCAAATTGCAGGATATATACGTTACATGTAATTAACCTATTTTCTTCCTTTTATTAATGTGGAGTAGCAATGCAAACCATTTCATTAAATAACAAGAGAGTTTACTGGTTGTCTCAAAGCATCTATTACAGTGTAATTATAGGCAAGCATGCATTTCTCAAAATATTCAGGATGCAGAGGTGAATGAATTCCTTCATTCAAGGACCAGAAACAGATATTGATTTAAATGACATATAATTGCCCATCTTGCAAGAGTGACTGTAGTTTTAAGCATGTTCCAAAATAAGGAGCATTTAAATAATTTCTGAGCATTATCTTTAGGATCAGACAGAACATCTGTTGTGACTGATTTTTCTAATCCTATTAGGCACAAATGTAGCCTAGGCTGAAATTGGCTATTTTGAAAGCCAAGCAACAGTAGGCTGGATTTGGCACGATTCATATTTTCCCAGATATTTGAAAAAGAGCAAGTTTGGAACTTACATTGTTGGGTTGACTCTTCTATTCTTTGGCAAAGTAGTGAGTCAAACAAAGGTGACCGGGGCAGATTTAACTGTTCACAGCTTTGTAGTTATTTGTTTGCATTTGCAAAAATAACTTTTGCTGCCTTAGCTGTAGGCAGCTTTTTCAAAGAGAGATGAACATTCGTGGAAGTGCACAATGCCTGATCTCCTGCTGTGCTGTAGAATGCAGTTTGCTTCTTAGTATAGAGAAGATCCACAGATATACATCAGTTTCTAGTTCTGGATGGAGATGAGTAATAGTTTTGGATAGAAATATACAAGAGTAGTGGAGAAGTAGATGCAGCAGGCTCTTGTAATATTAATGCAGATGGCTTTGGTGATGAGGGAAGGCGGCCCAATAATTGGTGTCTAATAACAGATTTAATGAAATAATTAATGCAGAGCTGCATGAAAGCCCTGTCGAAGTTCAGTTTACATATCCTTGGTCTGTAATTACGGATTGGGAATGGTGTACTCTGCACAGCCTCAAAAGCGTACTTTTAAGTGTTGTTATTATTTCCGTAATATCCAGGCACGTCTGGCAGAAATTATTTCCCTTGGGAAAAAAGCTGCCACCCCGTTTCCCTTATTGGTAAAGAATGTTTATGAAGACAAACATCTTTGCACTAAGAAGTAGCGTCTTCACTAAGTATAGATGTTGAAGGGAGGGGAATCCTGCTATCTCAGAAAAATCTTACACCTTTTCAGTTCTTTGCTCCTGGTTTAAACAGGTATTGAAGCTGCATGTTACCCAAAGGATCACATTGATCCTAAAAATGTGAATGCAAAAGGGTGCTTGAAGTGTTGTTTTCCTGCTCTGTTTCTTGAAGCAACTGTCCTGCTTTCTTTTTTACAAGGCTGTTAGATGTCTTTTGGCCTTGCAGGGTTTTAGCTTGAAAGTGCCTTGAAATCCTGGAATTCTTACAAGAATGTGCTACCATCCTTCACACACACTATGTGCTTCTTTTCTCATGGTTTCCAAATTGAAGTCTCCCTTCAGTTAGTAACTGAAAGCAGACAATTTTGTGTCTTCCATCACTGGTCAGATTTCTCCTCAGGCATAGAATCTGATCTCTACTGTTTCATTTAATGGTGAACATGAGTTGATAATTTTCATTTTCATTTCTTTCCCCAGTTATGAAGATGAATGATGTAGACCACCCTCTTGAATGACGCTGGGCATTTTATAACTGGGATCGTTAAGGAATAAAAAAGAAAACCGTTTTAAAAGGGGTCAATAATGGTGGCTTCTGATTGCAGAATGAAAAGGTTTTGGCTGCTTCTGATAGTAAGCTTCCTGCAGTGTTCAGAAGGTAAGATATGTTAATGTGTAATTTGTAAGAATAAAATATAATTCAGATTTATGATTCATCCTTGTCTGAGGGGGCAATGTAATTCATTTTGGAAATGATGCTTCATATTTCTGTTGCATGAGTCCAACGAAGGAATGCTATTCAGTCACATATTTTGGAATACACTGATGCATTTTGGAACTTTTACTTTATTTTTGTCATGCTATGTTACTGTAATTTTTTATTATATTTTAGGATTATTCTTTCACAGGATTTTCTACTATTTTGGTAGAAGTTGCTCTCTCTCTCTCTCTCTCTCTCTCTTTTTCCTCTCTCATGTACCTCATGTCTCTCTCATCTATCTATCTATCTATCTATCTATCTATCTATCTATCTATCTATCTATTATCTATCTATCTATCTATCTATCTATCTATCTATCTATCTATCTATCTATCTATTTCAAATTATATAAGAAGATAGTATATCCTTGATCCACTATAAAAAAATGCAATGGCAAATATCTGTATGCTCATAAAGAGATGCAGACACATAATCACAGTTATAAATATATAGGTTTTTAGGTCTTACTGGCAGATGTGTAGTAAATTGAAAATAAGCATAATTCATTTCAAAATCAGGTCACTGAAATTGAAAATGAGCTACTGTCAGCCTATATCTTGTTCCCATGTAAAATTATTTTCCTACTTGTTTATGCAATATCTAATATTTAAATTAGAGAAAAGAATAAGCTATTTTTTCTCTTTTGCAATATTTTTCATAGGGGTACTTAGAGGACAAACTGTGTCGTGACACAAACCTAGTGGCTGACATACTAGTATCCAACATCAGGACATAAATCCAAAAGGCTAGAGTTTGAGTCATGACAGTACTAAGCACAATTTGTCATTTTTGCATCATTGTGATTTCTACTAGATGCTTGTCTCTGTTCAGTTTCCCCAGCTTCACAAACTTAAGATATTTCAGTGCAATTTTTGCATACTATAAGCACAGTAGTGTTATAGTATTATAACATAGCTTAACAGTATAAAACATCATTTATCCATCTAAGTTCTCCTGAAATGATTGGGGGTTGCATGTTTCTGTCATTAACCAATTTGAATGCCATAAAAATAGGAACATGTATAGTACCTTACTGAAAAAGCTGGAAATCAGATGCAATTTACAGAACCACTTAACAGATGATAATTCACAAACTGGTTATTGATGAAATTTTATTTCAGGTCTTCTCAGAAGTAAATCTCATGGAATTCTGTAAAATTTTATCCTAGCGTGATCAAAGCTGCAATTTTGCTGCCTTATTTTTTAAAAAATCATTTCTTTCAAAATGATTTTTTGCTAAAAATGTCAAGATTAAAAAATGGAGTGATGTATCACCAGAAATTAAGTGCAACGAGTAAGTGTTGGACTTGACTAAGATTCCAAAATTTGATTTCCTTCTCTGTCAGGTAATTCATCTTGAGTTTGTTATCCTTCCTTTTTTCACAGTCTTATCAGGATAAAATACAGTAGCCCTGTCAAGTCAGAGAAAAGACAAGATAATCAAATGTGTGTTTTTAACTACCTAAATTTATTGTACTGAGTTTGGATATGCATAGAATTGCAGCTAAATTATAGCAAGTTATGCTTAAATATATGTAAATATCATATTCAGTTTTTCTGTGTTTACATGAAGAACACTAAGAATACAGAACTCCTTATCCAGGTATGAAGATGCCCCATTTAGTTTTGGCTGAGGACATATTTTTACAGAGTAGCTTTGGTCTTGTAGCTGGTATACTGCTAGTTTAGACTGAAGCCACTCTAAGCTATTTCAGAATTAGTATACTCTGTGGAAAAAACTTTTTTTTCCTGTGTACATACCTGGATTTTATGGAGAAAGAATCCTTGGTAGTTGATAAACTCCTTAACACTAGCTTTCCCCTTGTTGTCCTATTGTAGGGCTTTTTGCCATGATGGTCATTTATGTTTTGGCTGCTGGAATGTATAGAGCTTAAGAAGAGAGAACCAGGAGCTGTTTCACTTGTTTGTATGTGGTTTAGTTAAGGGAATATTGACTTTGTTGGAAGATGAAATGCAGCGGTTTCATGAAGTCAATATTCCTTTCAATAATAGGAAAATAAAATGACCAATTTGTTCACCAACTCTTCTGTCGCATCCCAGTTTGCAAGCAACAAGCAATAGTTGTGGCAGAATTAGAGAACTGTAAGTGCTTTGTATGTTGAATTCTTCTGAAACAGAGAAAGAACTTTGTTTTGCCTGGGTAATTTCAGCCTATTCTCACTGATGATTGATCTTGTATTATACAAAAGCACTCAAACAATGAGGAGATGATGAATTTTACCAGACTGGAATGGGGAGGGCATTTCTGTATGTAGACAACAGCACTGACAGCCTTGTTGCTGAGATTGGTAAGGCTATAAAAACTTGTTTTCCTCCCGTCTTGAGAACATGATAAAAAGGTATTGGTATGATTGTGGGAATGAGCCCCAGGTTTTGTAGATTTTATTACAGTTTTCAAGGTCCCTTCCAAGTCTTAGGAGATACCCCATTAGAGATCTGGAAAGTCAATATATTCACAGTTTTACATACCAAACATTGCCATTTTAATTTCTGTAACCATCTTTATTATCCATTATTGTACTTGGACTCATGCTAATTAATTGTGGTCAGAGAGAGGCAGATTTGTCAGCATCTTGTATTTTTAATTCTAT